AGGCCAAGCAGACAAATGTATCCAAACACACTCGGAACTGACCCACTGCGAGTCACCAGAGCCCCTGCAGCATCTCTTCCAGGAAGGCCTTGCGCAGCCAGGTTTGGCCCCGTCTGGTGCTTGGCTCCCTGGCCCTTTGGCTCTACAGGATAAGATCAGCATCTCGGTGTTTTTTTCTAAGCTCACCCCATACCTTGGGATGATGTTCTGCCTCTCTGGAGCCTTGCAGTGGTTCCTGGCAGTGCCCCCTTCCCTTCCAGCTTCAAGCAGCAGAACCTGGAGCAGCGGCAGTCAGATGTGGAGTACGAACTGCGTTGCCTCCTCAACAAGCCAGGTAAAGCATCACTCTGCATGAAGTTGCCTCCGTTTTCCTCCCGGGCTTCATCCCCCCCCGCTCTGTCTTGGTGGGTCTCAGGCAAAGAGAGACAGATCGTTAGGGATGCCAGTGCAATACTCTGTCTTTAGAGCTGCTACCCCATCTCATTGCCTGCCACAGCCTTGTGCAGGGACAGGCTCCTTTTGTGCCCATGGGATGCCACCTGCAGGGCTCTCCCTCCACAGCACCACTAGCCCAGCTGGCCCTGCAGCATGGCAAGGTAGCAGGGGATAGTGCTATGTGATCTCTGCCCCAAAAGCTCTTGAGTTTCAGAACTTCTTCAGCCATTTAATTGCCTATCCTTCCTCGGGGTTTGGCTGGGTAGAGAAGGACTGGACTGATGAGGACCGAGGGAGGGAGAAGGTGCTGATGCAGGAGCTGGTGACCATCATTGAGCAGAGAAACGCCATTGTGAACTGCCTGGACGAGGACCGGCAGAGGTGAGTAAGGAGTAGGCTGGGCTGGGGGAGAGGGGAAAGTGCAGCCTGTCTGACTCAGTACCACATGAATGGCTCGTGGGGGTGTCCCAAGATATTCCTGTCTTTCGCAGGTTTCCTGATCCTTGTCGTTTTGAATGCCTTGTGTGGGGAAAGACAGGGCAGTATGTGCATGCAGCACGTGGGATTTATCCTGCTGGTAGCACATGCTCACAAGACAGTGATGGATCTGCCCCTCTGTGGCTTATAAGTAGGAGGCTCTCTAGCCTTAAACAATACAGCAGCTGTTTTTCAGGGCTAAATTGCTGATCTCTTTCTCATTCGGTCTTTCAGAGAAGAGGAGGAGGATAAAATGTTGGAAGCCATGATTAAAAGGAAAGGTAAGAAACAATCGGGAAGATTTTTGGAGTGATGTTTTCACTGCTGACCCCAGCGAGGGACAGTATGAACCATTCATGAAACTGTGTGAGGAGGAGAGAGTGAATCTATTCCGTGTAGACTCTGGAGCCTTTCCTGTAAGGCCATTAAGGTTTGGGGCACAGTTGTGCTGTGCACCCCTGTTATCACAGAAAGAAGCGTGTATAGAGGACTTTGATTCATGGCTCTTGCCCTTACCCCTGTTGTTGTGCATGTGTGCAACTGTGAGCATCCCGCAGTAACAACCTCCCTTTGCAACCCCAGAATTTCACAAGGAGGTGGAGACCGAGAGCAAGAAGAAGGGCAAATTCAAGCCCATGAAGGTGCTGAAGCTGCTGGGCAACAAGCATGACTCCAAGAGCAAGTCGCCCAAGGAGAAAAGCTAGAGCAGGGAAACACCAGCAGTGGGAGGGATGTGCTGCCCGACTGCCATGGCCTCTCTGCAGCTGGCTGGGATGCCTGCCAGGAAACGGGGGCTTGTCTCCCTCAGCTCCCCTCACCTCTCCCCTCGCTCCCTCCCCAGGCACTGGAGCTGCTACCTCAGGGAGACGCCAGCCCTCTGCCCGGAGTGGGGGAGTCCAACCAAAGCGCTCCCCTTCCCGAGGCTGCGGAGGAGCCTGACTGTCCCCTCCGTGAAGCCTTGCTAACGAGGTGGGGAGGAGATGGATTCACTTTTTGGATACGTTACCCCATTGCGTGTTCTTATTATTAACGGAGAAGCAAGCGAAGGAGTTTGGTGTTTGTGGGAAAACTTGCACTAACTGCCCCCCGTCCCTTCTCCCGCTCTAACTGTGACAGTTCCACGTGCCTCCAGCCTCTGCCAGGAGGGGACTGGGCCTGCCTATCCCTCCCTGCCTGCCCACTCTTGTCCCCTTCCTGTCCCGTTTTTAACTTCAGGAGAAAACTCTGGCATTAGAATCAGGATTCTTTGGGTTTTACTGGCCTAAACTAAAATGTTAAGAAAACACTCCCACATCACAAGGCTCTAGAGCCATAGCCAAAAAAGTAACTGATGCCCTATTTATTTTGAGCTGTCCCCTCCCTTGAGCGCCACGGCTGGGTGGGCTCTGTTACAGGGCTGAGAGGACCCAAGAGGATGGCGTACAGCTGCTAAGATGTAGCTCAGGCGCCCTGCTTAGGACATCTTGCCCCCCACTGCTGCTAAACACCCCTGACTCTGCTGCCTTCATGGGGAGCGAGGAACATTCCTTTTCCAGGCAAGGGCAGAAAAGCTCAAGACTGACTCGGTGCTAGCAAGGAGCAGTAAGCTTATGCCCCTGCTCACCAGTGCTGCCCTTGAGTGGCTGGGGAGAGGGGCACGGTCACAACTGACCTTTACCCAGCTTCATCTGCGTATGCTTTAAAAGTGTGCAGGGTTTGGCTGGTTATTTTTTACACCTCCTTTACTAGATGAATTCAAACCCACCCTAAAACTTTTTAAAACCCTTATTTTATTTGTCGTGTGTGTGCGTGTGTGTACATTGGAGGAAGGAATGGGGGAGCAGTGTTCTTCCAACCATCCCTTCTTCCTTCCATTTTTGTTTCCTGCCTTCTCCAAGGTGAGGAGTTATTTATTGAATTGTTGGATCAGTCTGAATTAGAGTTTCATGGGTGTTCGGTTGGTCAGCTATTCATCATGCCTTCTCATTAGCAAATTAGACATAACCAGCCCCCAGCAATCTACTGCAGTCCCTTCTAAAAACCCAACAGGCCGTAGCCAAAACACTCTGAGCAGTGCCTTGCAAGGTGGCTGGCATAGCGTTCTGGAAAGGCATCCTTATTTCCCAAAACCTGAGGGACCCAAGCCCGTCCTCAATCCCCCCATGGCTGGGAGGTGGCAAGTTCAGTCCTGCGCTGGTGACGCCATCTAGCTCTTGCCATACCCCAGCAGGCTGATGAGGAGCAGTGGTAGGGGAGGAGGAGATCCCAAAGCACAACTCTTCTCCAAGGAGAAAGAAATCTGCTTTAGAGCCTGCTGTCGCGTCACTGTTGCCAAAGGCCATTGGGATTGCTGCAGCCTGACACCCCTTGGCCCCACACCCAGTCAGAAGTTTGATTTGTAAATTGTACTGTACTAACTCTGTGACTTCCATTCACCTGAACAGAAATAAAAGAAACATTGGGTTTAAAAATGGATCACGGCTTAGGTTTCTGATTCCTTTGTGCACTCGTGCTGTCCCAGGGACAGGGCATGCTGCCTGGCTTTGGGGAGTGGCTGACGACAGTATTGCTAAGCAGCAGATGATGGGATCTTAAGGAAATTGGGAGGTGGACTTTGTGCTGGAATTTACGCAGGAATAGTGGAGCATCATGCTTCAGCCTGCTGGAGGACAGAGGTGGGGATATGTGTGAGGTGAGCAAACAGACATTTCCAGGCTCTGTGGGAGACCAATGGCTATTCAGCACACCATGCTTTCAGGAACCAAAAAATCACAGCAGGCCCGCAGCAGAGAGCAGTGTGTGTTGGGCTGAAATCCCCTCTCCCTCCTCAGCACAGCTGTGTTCCTGAGCGCCTGCCCTGTTCAGCTGCTGCCAAGAAGTTTGCTGATGCAGACAATTGTGCTGACCTGCAGCAATGCCGGAGCCTTGTGTTTGCGCAAGGCCAGGCGGCTGCATCTTCCCCGCTGCCGCCTGCCAGCACAGCTGTTCCCAGAGTCGTGCAGACAGGAGCAGGTCATAGATGTGGGTGGCAACACGCGTCTTAGCACCGTGCTGTCATGAGAAACCGCCTCTGGGTGGATGGAAAGGAGTGAGACTTCTATCAGTGGATTGCTGTACTCATAGGCGAAAGGAGGCTCTGCTTTGTCATGTTTTGGTAGCTGCTGCTAGGTGTTTTAGTCTCTTGAATATTGTTGAGCAAGAAGTGAATCAGCACATGGGGAGGATTTTACAACAGATTTTTTCTGTTACTAGTTATGTACAAATTGCTCCTGCTTTCTGGATTTAGGCAACAGGTGGTGCTGCCCCCTCTTTGGGCACAGGCACAGACCAGTCCTTGAGACTCCGATGCTGAGAGTCTGGGAAGAAGAGGTGGGAACAAATTGCACTTGTGTTTTTACCTTGGCCTAGTCGTGGGGATTGGATTTGTTCCCAGCAGGGAAGTCTTTTGTCATGATCTCTCGCAGTTCCTCACTTCTCTTTTTGTCAATGATCTCCATCTCACGCATTTTCTGTGAAGTACAAAGGGGAAGGGCTGAGCGGGAAGAATGCTGGTGGCTTTTTTTTTCCTTTCTTTCACCAACCCCAAGAACAAAGGTTCTAATTCCCTGGTGAAGTTACATGCAGACATGGAAAAAAAGGCTGAAAACCTCCATGCCTGTCCTGTGCCACAAGAAGGGGAACACTCAGTTCTCTGCCCTTTCCCCTTCCCCATTCAGGTACTGAAGGGAGACTGCTTTAAGGTCTCTGACACTAGGGACTCCCTCCACACACTGTACAGTCAATGCCACCAGGGCCCTCACATACCTCTGAGATTTCAGTGAGGACAATCCTCTGATACTTCTTGCCTTGTCCTAATGCTTCCATCTCTGCCAGGAACTCCCTCCTCTCCTGAACTTCATTCACCACTGACAGATGAGAGAAAACACTGTGGAAACAGGATTCAGTCGAATGGCAAGAAAACATTTCTGTCTAGATCTGAACCTGCAATTTCCTAGCTCTGCTTGAACAGCATCCTGCGAGGGGAAGAGGGATATCTGCTGTAACACTGATCTTGTGAGTGTCATCAAAATACCTCAGTAGTCCCTTACACAGTGGGAAATGACCCCCTATCCATCTTACCACTCCCCATCTTGCAGGAACAGTAACTTTCTAGTTTTCTTTGTACAGACTATTCTCTGTTTCTTGTGGGCAATTTAACCAGTCTGTGGATGGAGACAGAACCTGCTTAAAGCTATTGAAGTTCATTACTTGACATGCCTCACCCAGTGACCGCAACCAGGACCAGCAGAGGCAGAGAACGTTAGGTGCCACTTTGCAGCACAGACCTGCAGCCAGCTGGTCTATATCTTGCCACAGTACAAAGTACATGGGTATTTCAGATGTGTCAAGGACAAGACTCTGCTTGCCACAAGTTTTAGAGGATACAAAGCATGTGTGAAGCCAGCTGCACTGGCTTCCCTGCAGCAGGGACCAAAGCACCCCTTCTGTACATGTTATTCTAGCGTCATCCATCTTTGTGCTGCAGTGGCTAGTGAAGGGCTGGATGGGGTGTACACACATGTTGAAGAGTCAAGCATAGAGAGCTAGTAGGCAGGGGTTTGCCATCCCAGAATACCCTGCAGGCCAAAGTCCATCACTGCTTAAAATTCTGCTCAACATTTAAGCTTTGCTAGTGTAACTGCTCTATCTTGGAATGAAAGAAAACAGTGCAAACCAAGGTCAGGCTGGCAAGCGTCCTGGTCTATATTGAGTTACGCTGGTTGGAAAAAAGACCTGCAGTACCTGGGCTTCCTGCCCAGGTCACCCTGCGTGTCCCTAGGGTATTCCCCTGCCAGCAGAGTTCACTTTCTGTGGGCAGCCCAGGGAGCTTGAATCTGCCAGCAAACCCCTGCAGCATAAGCTCTGCAAGGATGGCTGGCTCACAGCGTCACAGCAGCAAGACCTTTCTCTTGGAAACTGGGCTTTGTGCCTCCTTCCACAACGAGCTTCAGGGCTATTGGCAACACTGCCTGCCACCCCAGGCCTCAGAGGGAGCTGGCTTCCCAGGCTTCCTGCCTGCCTTCCTCCAGGGTATGTAAAGACATACGTTCTTCAAACCGGTCAGGCTCAGGTATCTCCTCTTCCTTTGTCTGAACCAGCATCTGCTTCACCTTGTGCTCCACCACATCCTTTCCCATTGCTAAGATGTTTTGGAGCCTTTGCTTCTCCTTTTCCAAATCTCCTGTGAATGCCAAGGGGGAAATAAATGATTAGCAGCCTATATCCTCAGGGAGGAGACTGGACACACTGCTTCCCTGATAATGATGCCAGAGGAAGTGTTACGTTAACGACAGCCCATCCCCAGACTGAACTGTGCAAGCACCACACAGGCATACCTGTGGTGAAGAGCCAACCAAACTGGCATCAGAGGTTTGATTCACATTGATAAGCTAGAAAATGACATAGCGCTCCCATCTTACGCAAGGACTATGTGCATCCCTATCACCTGTATCTGCCCTAGCCAGCGGGCAGAAGTCAGTGAGCACTTACAGTAGATGTTCCCTCAGAGATCCCTTTCTAAAGCATCTTTGAAGACAGCATGAGGATGAAGAACAATTAAGATACTCCCTGCCACTGCTGAGATTGCAGGCAGGGGATGGACATAAGAGGAAGAGAGGGACCAGGCGGCATCGTTTATTTAGTGATGTTTGCCGACTTACGCCTTGCCCGTGGCTTGAATTTCTCTCGGGTGTAGGCATCTCCTGCCTGGCAGACCTTGGCTGGTCGGAGATGTGGTTTAGCTGAAAGCCTGCTCTGCTGACAGACTGGTGGGGAGAAAGCTGTAGGCACTGGCTCGTTGCTGGATGTGGGGTGGCACTGGAGGGGCAAGGTATCTCCTCCTGGAGAACAAACCAAAAATATTGGTAACTCAGACACAAAAGGAGCCTGGATGGATGTCTGGGCTACCACCAGCAGATC